AATTTGCAATGGACCTCGGTGAATTTACCGGGGAGGAAAAAGAATAGTTGGTACTTACATATAGTTTTTAAAGCAAATAAATTGTTATTTCTTTTTTAAATTAATTTTTGCTTTAAAATTTAGTCTTTCTAGTATTTCCTATAATATATAGGTAGGTATACCCCGAGCAATATTCGTAATAAATATATACAGCTGATATCTATTGAATATATTTGAGACGTATCAATATATCTCTGCAGCAGCGGTATAAGATATGTGGTATAATATAGAAACGCTTATTATACAACTATACATAGATATACATTTTAATAAGCGTGCGACAGTATATTACCTATAACTATTATTACCATCTTAATATATATAATTCTACTGTACATGTGTTTGTATGCGAACTCCTCCTAAACGGCTGGACCGATTTTGATGAAATTTTTTGTGTGTGTATTAGTGGGCCCTAGAATGTTTTAGATTCACAATCGGACCAGGTAGGCCCATTCCGTGGAGGTGCTCAAACGGGAATGTTGAGATTTACGGTGGATATTTTTGTTTATAAATGCTTGCCATGGGTTTTAAAGCTATTACAATAATAAATACTGGTTGCTGTGAAATCAGAAATAATTAGAAATAATTTATAAACAACGTTAGTATAATTACATTATAATTGTATTTAAAAAAATGTATGTTATTTCAAAATAAAGAACAATGAAATTATTATATTATTTGGCTTTCATTTCATACTTTATTTAACATCCTAATCGATTGAAATGTCATGCAGGACAACGTCTGTCGGGTCAGCTAGTTATATTATAGAATAATATTTTTAATACATATTTATAATTATGCTCACGAGATACGCATTATATTGGCACAGGCGAGTGCTGTAAATCGCTTGTATTATTGGTATATAATTAGGAATCTAATTTACGATAATGTATCGTACACTTGTTTATCTACATAATATATGAACGTCCATAGTATGGTATAAAGTGATGCGACAATATAGCTAGATAGGTATACCGCGAGTAATATATACAGCTGGCATCTATGATCTATAGAATATATTATTTTAGTAATATAATATCTGCGAAAACCAATATTATTATATGGGTACACTGCGTCTCGGAGGTGATCCACAGGTGATTTAAATTGTAAAGGAAATATTATTATTATCGCATTATAGAATATAGAATAATATATATTGATCTTACTAATATAGGTAGGTACTCGCGATATCATAATAATATTATACATTTATAGATCGAATTCACTACTGCTGCAGCTATAAAATAACTAACGAGATACGCGTTATTGCCACAGAAGCGTGCTGCACATCGCTTGTATTTAGTGAATATAATTCGGAATATCCGAATATGTACATATTTGAATAACGTGTGGTGGTACCTACACATAATATATAGTGATGCGACAATATATATTGGTACCTCATAGGTAGGAAAGTATATAGGTAGGTATACCGCGAACGTTCGTTTATGATAATAGTATAATAATACTGCAGGTTATAATGTATATCTGCTAGCTGCAGCAGCGGTATAAAATATGCGGTATGATAAAATATTATCTGAAAAACGCATATTATAATATTATATTATGCTCGTGCACTGCGCCGAGGTGATTAATTATATCAAGTGGACGTATTATAATATACAAATAATCCGACGTCGGATTAAGATGTAGCTACACATTAGGTACCGCTGCAGCTTATTATCGTGTGATGCACCGCGGTGCACCCCTGCCTATTAAACACGTGTATTATAACGTTCGCGTATTATTATATATTATATTTTAATGCGAACACACAAAGCTCTCATAATATTAATAATATTATTATAATGTATACCTATATTATTATTTAACTATCGCCGGCAATTTGTTTTGCCACGCGCGCGTACACATGCGCGGCATCCGTTAGGGATTTGCATATTTTGCATTTGCGTGTTGTTTTGATTAATACGAGTATAATCTAAGTGACATTTGCAAATTCGATTTGTCGTTTCGCGTGATTACGATGGTAATAATAATTTTTCCGACTCGAGGAAGAATATTATAATGTTGTTGTACGTATATATAATGATAATATTATAATGTACATCATAATCGTGTGTAATACGCAGTGTCCGGATATCCAAATTTTTTTTTTTTTTTTTATAATAATTTATTACGTGTGGCGTGTTGCAAAGAGCGAATATATTATTATTATTAATATTATTATTATTATTATTATATTTGTAACTAGTTTAGAAAGAATTTACTCGGAGAATATAATATATTATTATTAACGATGTATGCCTGCACTACTGTAGTAGTAGTAGTAGTAGTTCGTGTTGATAATAAATCGAGCATAAATCATCTATAAACGAGCGTGTATATCATGTGTGTCCAGCACCTATAAATTGTTTTAATCTAAGTTGCACGTGTTCTTATAGTATAATAACATATTTTATTTATTTAGTTGCAATCCCTGCAAATGCACTTCCCCGGGATGTCTGCTGCAGAAGCTCTGACATTAATAAATATAATGCGCGCGGAATTTTCCGATTTTTGTCATTTTAGCGACCAGAGATAAACTCAATAATAATTTTATTATTTTCTGTATCCGCATAGTCCGAACAGGTAGTGAGTGAGTATATAATATAATATTGTAACAATTAACACGTACCTAAATGAGTGTGTCTTTTTACCAACCATATAATATAATATGTTTATATAAAATAAAAACACCATACTTTTGAACTGTTCTATGTCAGATATTATAGACTCGCAGGGACAGGCAGAAACAACAGACAGAAGTGTTAAAGTCATAATAATTGTAACACCAGCCCAACCGAAGACGGACTCTTGCAGTGACGTCCAAATAACACTGCTGCAGACCGAAAAGTGCATTGAAACTACATAGTACATATTGACAATAATATTATCCCAACTAGCTCAACATTATTACACAGATTATATAGACAGTAAATTACATAATATTATATGTTTTGACAGTTCTTTCTGTCACACCCTGTACACAACATATATAACTAATCAAACGTCTCAATAAAGTCATACCGATCATTTGCGTTCTTACCATTTTATACAACCTTACACGTCCGTACGCATTTACATAATATACACATAATACAGGGTACTTACGTATAATTTAAAACTATATTATATATAGTCGGTTTATTGAACGTATATAAGCTGCGGCACGAAGGAATTCACATTAAAATGACCACGATAATAACAATAATAATAATAATAAAAAATGAGCTACAAATGATAATACGCGTCGTTCGGGTAAAGCGAACCTCAGAAATGTGAAGAAAAAAATACACATAAAAAACACCACGACTTTGAGAGTACCTATAATAATATAATAACAATAATAATCGCACTTATTCCTGTATATGTTTACGATACATAATGTTCGCGTTACACATTATCGTGGTATATACCTACACCGCGAGGTCCATAATGTACCATAACCATATTATGCAGGTATATAGTAATGTATGCGATGTGCATAGGCAACAGGTACCCGACCAATTTCGATATATTCCTGCGTACAGTTTTCAATGATATCGTACGCGTTATATTATTATAATAATTTAGGTACATGAGGTATAATGGGCATCTGGCGTGCACACTATAATATAATATTATAATATTATGATTTTTCGTGTAATTTTGCGCGAAAAAAAAATCGTGACGACCGTCGCGCCGCCGCCGGCGACAATGCATTACCATCGGCCGGTGTGTATAATATTGTAATATTATTATTAAGAAGCTGCCGTGCGACCACTGTCGGCGGTCGATTAGACGAGGAGAACGAATTTTCTATGAAAAAAACCGCGAAACGTAATGAAAAAAAAATATGAAAAAACGGAAAAAAAATAAACAACAAATATATAGTTTATCGTACCGCGCGTTATTAGGATATAATATATATTAAGTATAGCTCGTGCCCGGACCATCATCACCACCACTGTTTGCCATCACAAAACCGTCGGCGAGCATCGTCTATATTATATTATATAGCTGCTATGCAAGTCCTGAAAAAAATCGAATTAATCCGACGACGACGACGACCTGTAATATACTTTAGATGCCGCCGCCGCAGCCGACGACGGACCATACCTGTACAAAGGAGCACAACAATCGAGCCGCGGAATTCAGAAGTCAATTTCGGAGAGATAATATTGTTATTGTGACGTGTACGCGTTTCCGGGCGTAATCGAAAACCGCAGAATCGTTAACATAATATAATAGAAATAGAAACAATAATAACAGAAAAAAATAAAAATAAAAACTTCGGAGCCCGCTGCAGCAGACGTCTAATCAAATAGTGTGCCGCACAGGATGTCGCGGTGTGTATATTATATAAATATATAATATTATTATTATTATTATTATGTGTACGAGCGGCGGCAATACGCCCACGACGACCAGACCACTGCCGACTGCAGTTGGCCCGCTCGCAAACCATTACCCAGACCTCCCCGAATATTGTTATCACAATAATAACGACTATTATTATTACTATGGTCGCAATCGTCGAATAATTCGTCCCAGGGGAAAGGTCGGCTCGAGCCATAAAGATTTATTGCGCCCAGGAGACGTCCGAGAAAGTCGCAGTATTTAGGACCAATAGTATATTTATATACACTCAAGAACTACTGTCGTCTAGTTCATTCCGAAGTGTGATATGGGGACATATTATCAGTGCTCGAATTGGGGGGGGGCGCAGAGGGACGGAGTACCCCATATAATTTTTCAGAAATTTTAGCGTACCCCTACTCTTATTTTGAAAAGGAACGCACGGGACGCTGCATCATTCTGCATTTTTATCAAAATGCAAGGAATGCATGGTTCAAAAGATTGGTGTGATGGTAATATAACAGCAGTAGCCAGTAGGTGATGATATTAGTAAGCAGCAGACAAGTCTCAATAAAAAAATCTCATAACATAAAAACACTCAGGTGAACTTAAAAATTGAACAAATGATTGATCAAAGTATGTTAGAAGTAATACCAAATCATTTACAAAATCTTTCAACTATTGATAATGCATTAACTGAAAAAATATTTAGAACTGCATATTTTATAGTCAAAAATCAAAGGCCATATAGACATATAGTATATACTGATATGCCCAAACTTGTAGACCTTCATGTAAATAATGGTTTGGAAATGAGTCGCATTTTGCAGACTGATAATTCATGTAGTAACATAGTAGACCATATACCTTCAGAAATGCGGAAAAAAATTTGCAAAGATATAGTAGATAACAGAAGAAAATTATGTATAATTGTGGACGAATCTACTACAATCTATGCTGGTAATTTGTTTAAGAGCTGCTATCGCTCACGAAGAAGATAATATAATACCTTTCTTTTTTGACATAATTGAATTACAAAACACATCTGAATATCATAATATGATATTATGGATCATAAAAAGTTGGTAGTACTACTGCAGTGGATTTCAAATTTCCACAAGACATGTTGCCATATATTATTATGATGGTTACATTTCATATTTGACAATAGCCCCTTAAAATAAGACTAATATGATAATGATTTAATACTTCAATTAGAATAACAATTTCTGGAAGGACTTATCTTAATATTGAAGAGCCCCTCCAGGTACCCACCCCCCAAATTGCGCTTATGCTTGTTGGGGCTTCAACTTCGAGAACTCTGTCCCGCGGGCGTTGCCCTCAACCAAACGTACCAGTTGCTCTCACATTTAATTATAATATGCACGATTACAATAGGGGAGGTAAATATGTTTAAGATATATATAATAAGCAATATATATAAAAAAAAACGCATATTATAATAAAAGATTAAATATAATATTTATATCAATCACAAGAGGGATACAATGTAATTTGTCACAAAATAGTACAAAATGATACTATAAAAACATTTTCAATTATGATTGCAAATATCTAAATTTTTATTACTTTTTAACAAATTACATAAGGTACGTATATATTATATTATAATATGTATATTTTTTTATTTTCATTTATTTACATATTTACCTCCCCTATTTGACTGGTGGATTCTGTATAATCGTTTATATGATATTATGTTAGGGCCGGAATTTGTGTAATGCTATACATTTGGCGGGATTGGTAAATTGAGTCCCAAATGACCCTAACTCGGTAAATTGAGTCCCGGGGAAAAACAGGTAGTAGGTAAGTTGAGTCCCGGGGAAAAGCGATTTTTAAATAATAATTATTAATTATATAATTATGTTTTTCCCCAACGATACACTCTTAACAACACCAAAGCATTCACAGTCAATAAAAGTCCATAACTTTGTAACATCGTACCTTTGGTTAAACACAATTAAGATAGGTACCAATAAGTAAGGACTATAATATACTATATATATACGTACATGACGGTATCTTACTATCTCACCGATTTTCCCCGAATATTTGGTCCGCATTTGCTGCTACATCCGTGCGTGCAACCAATAGTTGTGAATCGTATCATTCGCGATTAAATCGACGCGTTTACAGTCCACATCCGAATATTTTTAACTTTATTGATGAATTACTTGAAGTTCAGTCAGAGACACAAATAAAATTAAGAAGTAAAAATTAAAAAAAGAAAAGCACGCTCGATAACGAACAAAACCTAAGGGAGCAAATTACCAAATACACCAGTAATGTTATAACCCGATTTGAGTTTATTAAATCAATATCAATGAAGTTTTTACCAAGTACATAATATATTTATAATAATAATGATAATTTTTAACGACAATAATTTTTTTAAATTAATTTATATAAATCTAAATATTATATATCCTTATATAAATAATATTTACTTACTACCTTTTTTTTCCGGGACTCAACTTACCTCCTACCTGTTTTTCCCGGGACTCAATTTACCGCTTTCAAAATGTACCAAACTTATCTCGGACTCAGTTTACCTAGCCCCACATTTGGCTGATGGCAACTGGTGCATTTTTCTCAAGGTAGTTTGGGGGGGGGGGGAGGGATCGGTATAAAAAAAAAGGTACATTTGAGGGCAACCGGTACACGCCCTCCACGCTGACCCATAAACGTACCACATGGTTCAATTAGGCTGGCATATTGTATAGTTTTGAAATTTGAGTGATTTTAGTCGGATCGCGTCTTCCCTTCATCATAGCGTCGTTGACGCCAGTTTACTCATCGTTATCAATACAATAACAAATGTCAACTCGTTTAAGGTAAACTGTACGAATCTCGTCGATTTTTGTTTTTCATTTTAATGTTAGAACTTTTTAATAATACGAGTCTAATAAGCTTTCGTCGCAGCAGCTACATACTGCGGGAAATTAACAACAATTATATTATTGTTTCTACTTTATTGGACGGCGGCGGAGGCTAATTACGACGGTCCATGTGATGGGGGATACCTGAGCGCGGGTATACCTCCTGCTAAACAGTTTATGACAAACAACGACGATGATAACAATAATGATGATATTGCGGCGGCTGCGGCCGATGAGATTTTCTGACAGTCATTGTGGTCGGGAAGAAAACGCTCGTTTTAATGGCAGATTTTGCGTCACGTTCGAACAATATACAGTATAATATTCCGTGCATAATAATCCATAATAATAATAATATAATATAACATACAGGCGGCACCCGTGTGGGGCTATATTATTTATAATACATGCGCACATATTCCAATAATGACGAGGCGATTCCGCTGTGATTGCGCAAACAAGACTGCACGAGCCGCCGACGCAGTGTTGGGACACCTTGAAACCGAATTTCCCTAAACAAAACTGAAAACTCGACGGGGCTGCACACAATGAGCCGTATTATTATTATTATATACGAGAGGGCGGTTTGACGAGTTTCGGGTTTCGGTTGCAGGTGTAACGCGCGCATCGCACAATGAGAGGGTACATTATATTATACATTACTCGAGATGGAAAATATATATAGCAGTTACACATTATTATTATTATTATTGTTGTTATTTATTATTATTCGGACGACCCGCGGCGACACGGGCACATATTTTTACACGAGATATTTTTTTATCGAGCGGTTTTTATGATAAAATTGTTCGTAGGTATATTTAATTTATAAGAGACGACGACGACGACGTTCCCTTGAAAAGATCACCCGAGTCGCGTCTTGACAAACGCGAGTCGCCTTAAAGAGCGGACGAAACGTTGAAAAAAAAAAATAATAATAATATTTAAAATGCGAAATAATTTATACGGGGACGTACATTATGTAGTATAAAACATAATATATACAATATGACAACCGCGTAAAGTCTTCGATATATGGGAAGACGATAATAATAATATTATTCTCTCGTATATTATTCTAATTACGAGTCCATTGTGAAAGTATATGATTATGGGTGTTGCACATCTATTGCGGTCTGGACAGCATTAGTTTAATGCCAACGGACGTAATGGACATGCGCGCGACTTAATAACAATGGTCGACCGTAATATTTCGGTATTAAAAAAGAAAGAAAAAAAGAGAGTTGGGTACGTCGCCGCCGTCGCAGTTTCTGACAGCATTTCGCATGCTAATTTCATACTTCAGATTCACGACGTTGTTGTAACATTATGTGTGTTCCTGCAGTATATATAATATATACCTACCTACCTATATATAGGTACTATTATTATACATATTTTGGTTTTCGTATAATATATATTATTGCATATAATACGACGCCTTGTCCGTTTGATATATAAAAATATTATATTATTATATACCTACTTATATACATGTATGCGCACTGTAGTACGAGCGTTTAATATGATAATAATATATGCACTCCGCCGCGGTTTCCTCAAAGAACTGTGCTGCAGTATACCACGACGATTCCGTGTGAAATTTATCATCGATCTGAAAATATGTTAATAAGCGGCGAATTCGCTACTCAAGTCCCGAGTTCACAATATGTATATGGGTAGGTAGGTACCGCGTCAGAGGATTTAAATGACAGTTTACGAATTTCATTCCGCCCATACACAGTGATTCACCGAGCATACCTATATATGCTCTTTTTTCCCTCGATTATATACCTAGTGCAGTTGTTCAATACCTGATTTCTCGAATTTTTTACCAAACCTAAGACCACTGCATGTTTTTAAATTCTTGAGCGGGCTAAGATTTAAGTCTTGTACTTCTCGAGGAGCGTCCGGTGAAGGTAAAAACTTGAGTTTTTCTAATCAAACACCGGCCCCGTTTTCTATACTGCAATATTATTTTAGCTATTCATTTTTTTCTGGAAATGTTGACGTGTCGATGTATCGAAAGACGAACGAGTAGTTTTTGAGTTGCACTTAACATTGTATACTAAGGATAATAGGTCTATTAGTTTTAGTATAATGGGTTTGGAAGATAAACGTTTATATGAGATGGAGATTTGAACATTTTAGTAATTGATATTAATCTATCAACATTAATAATTTGTAAAATTGTTAAATTAGGTACATTAGTATTTTTTTTCGAAAACCATTTTGAAGGACATTATCCTTATAGGTGGTACATAATATAAACATTTCGATAACTGATGAGAAACTACTGTTAGTTTTCAAAAAAAAAAATTCTCCTCTACATAATTCATATATAGTATAGGTACAAATGGAACTGTTTTCTCGTTTGAAAAATAAAAGTTTTCATCGCCACTGCAGGATATTGCCCTTAAGTAAGTAGTCCACAAAATCTCAACAATTTGAAAATATGATGTCTTCAAGTAGGTACTGATTTTAAAAATTCCAACCATCAGAATGTGTACGAATTCATTATTGTCGTCAAAATTGGAAATGAGTGTGGAAGTAAGCGTGCTTGGTCAATCACCCTGTATACAATAGAAGAATGCGATATTGATTCGGACGACGACGTCCTGCACGTTCTTTCGGTTTGACGTGTTTGCACGCATTACTGCAGTAATATTATTATATTATTGTGTATTATTATTATATTTGTATTGACCTAATGCGCGTAGAAAATACGTCTGAAATATAGTGCACAAACCGACTAACGACAATACCATTAGTTTGGAAGCACAATTTTTATTTTTTTCATATTGTTATTATATATTTTTAAGTGCACATATATAGGTAGTGTACAATATTTTATATATTATTATTATTATTATTATTATTATGAGACGTCAGAGGCGGTCACCACCGGGTAATGACGCGATGGTTTTTTCACAGTTCCCACGGTCGGCGCAGTCTCCTAACCCATCTTTATTCCATTTTTTACGGAAAATCTATATCAACCCGTCGCCACTACAAACGCACTGTTGCATTAATCCTTCTTTTAAAGCTCGTTTATCATTTCGTCCATTAACCCTTTTTTTTTTTTTTTTTCGGTGACTCGG